TCAAATGCTTCTGCATAGTCAGTAAAACACAGGTATGCATTTTCTGGTATTCTTTGCTTTCAGCTGAGACTCATCTGCCAACAGCAATGATATCTCTTATTTCACATCCTCTTCTGAATCCAACTTGAATTTCTGGAAGTTCCCTGTCCATGTACTCCTGCAATGGTTTTTGAATTATCAGCAAAATTTTACTTGTGTGTGATATTATATTGTTCTATAATTTCCACACTCTGTTGGATCACCTTTCTTTGGAATGGACACAGATATGGATCCCTTCCAGTCAATTGGCTAGGTAACTGTCTTCCAAATTTCGTGGCATAAACAGTAAGCACCTCCATCATGGTATCTGTTTGTTGAAACATCTCAGTGGGTATTCCATCAGTTCCTGGAACTTTTTGTTTGTTTGTTTGTTATTTCCTTCAGTGTAGTTTGGACTCTTCCTTCAGTGTGATTGGTTTTTGATCATATTCTGTCTCCTGAAATAGCTGAACATTGACCAATTCTTTTTGGTACAGTGACTCTTTGTATTCCTTCTATCTTCTTTTAATGCTTGCTGCATCATTCAGTATTTTGCTCATAGAATCCTTCAGTATTGGAACTACAGGCTTGAAGTTTTTCTTCAGTTCTTTCAGTTTGAGAAATGCTAAGCATTTTGGTTTTCTAATTCCAGGTTTCTGCATATTTCATTATAATACTTCGTTTTCTTGAGCTGCTCTTTGAAATCTTCTGTTTAGCTCTTTCATTTCATCATTGCTTGTATTTGTATAGCTATTCTTCATTCAGGACCAAGTTTCAGAGTCTCTTCTGACATCCATTTTGGTCTTTTCTTCCTTTTCTGTCTGTTTAATGATTTTTTGTTTTCTTCAGGTATGATGTTTTTGATGTCATAGTATAATTTGTCTGGTCTTCAGCCATTGGTGTTCAATGCATGAAATCTGTTCTTTAGGTGGTTTCTAAATTCAAGTGGGATATATACTCAAGGTCATATTTTGGCTCTCATGGACTTGTTTTAA